CCTTTACGCGGTACACCTTGGACAATGTTAATGCCGGTGGTACTGTAAACTTCAAGCCTCGTAACTCGAAAAGCGCTTAATGAAAAAATACTTTATTATAGTGTTTTGAAAAGTTCTCGAAGTAAGCTGCAAGAATATGCAATGAAAAATGGGGGTTTCTAATTAAGAAATTGAAGGTGACCTTTATGTGATCTTCAAATGACTATTCAAGGACAAATCAATGGCACCATCTTATGTCCTCCTCAAAGTCATAAAACCTTTGTACGAAACATTTTTTTCAAAATCCCGTGATTTCCAGATATTTGACTGTTTAAAATAAACTGTTTAAAAATGGGACACACACACACACACACACACACACACACACACACACACACACACACACACACACACACACACACACACACACACACACACACACACATTAATGCGTCTCTGTAATTATATCCATCGCGTCACCGATAATTGTACAAGGAAAGTATATTCGCATTTAGCAATTAGGAATTTCCATCTTACAAGTATATTAAACAACTAATTCTACAGGGATTTGAAACAATACACATTAATACATATCTATGATCCACTAAGTCATTCAAATACATGTAAACAAAATAGATATTTTTTAAATTAAAAATTAGTTTAATAAAATTAGTTTTTTTTTTTTTTTATTACGCTTTACTTACTGTTTGTCTATTAGATGTGACAATAAATATTATAAGAATTTTACTATAAATAATTAGATTATTCTATCATTCAGACGATTACAAAATTGATTTCTCGCTTTGGATGTTATTACGATTTTGCAGATGTAACTGCACTTTTAGAACTTTAGAAAGGGACAATATAATATTCAATGTAATAGTTTTATAACAAAAAAAAACTGAGCCTGTAAGAGAATAATTGCTTTCTTACTGTACAGGAGAATGGCGGACTTTTGAGGATATTTCCTGAAGGATGGCGGGATCAAGTGGCGGATATTGAACCTCTATTCGATAGAATATTGTTTTTCTGGTCTGACAGGCGGAACCCGCATGAAGTGCAACCAGCGTTCAAAACGAGATACGCCATCACGCTCTGGTACTTCGATGCCGAAGAAAGGAATCAAGCTTGTCGAAGATATCAAAAAGAAAGTGCGTAAGCGATTAAATTAATTTTTTTAATTTTCTGTTGTTTTTCTTTTTAATGCAATTAGTTATTTTTGTACAAGATATCAATGAGTACAACGAAATTAGTAAAAAGTAGTTATAAATTCAATTAACAGACGGTGTAGTAAATCTTGTATATCATATTTTGTATATCTCACGAACTGTATGAACATACATACGATATCGTTTGAAGTTAAAGAATGTTGTTAAGTCTCAACTTTTTGCGGTTCCTATCATAAGATGAACGCGACATAGTGCTTTACTACATAATCCTGCATATAGTTCTCTAAATAAAAAAAGTAACACATGATTACAATTAGCGCAAACTAGCGTTTTTCTAATCTTTATAAAATTTTCTTAATAACAAGAATTAATTGTTATATTCTCATTTTATTTACTCTCTTATAATATTTATTAAAATATACATTTTGTACTTATATGTATTATTTCTACATGGACATTTTATTTTGTGATAAAAGTTCTAATAGCAATTCTATTAAAATTAGTAGTAATTCAGTCAAGTATCGATTGTGGTAACTGAAATTTCTTTTTTAGGAGAACTACATTCGAAGAGTAATAGTTCATGAGACATTGAATGCGAAGAACTACTACACCGTCTGACTGGACTGAAATTATACTTGTATATAAAATATTATATATTATTATGTATCATGATAATTGTTGCAGGAGGAATTGAATAGCGTAGAAAAAAATACTACGGATGACAATGCGTGTTTGCAAGAAAGTGCAATAGACATAAGAGCGTACTATTTCTTTTTTTACAAATGGCACTGTAATATATGTGATGAGTTAATGTGTGTAGTAGTTGCAATTTACTTATATGTATAATCGTTTATTTCGATTTCTGAGATTCATGTTCGCACTTTGTAATCCAATATTTAAAATGTCAAATCTTCTTACGTGTTTTATGTTACCTATAAGAAAAACTTGTGTCGATCATTTTCGTTATGTAAAGTATTACCGATCTTTAGGACATGTTGCATTTGAGAAATGTTTTAAGGAAAACTGTAGAATATAACATATAAAAAAATCTCTTCCAGAAACTCGCAGAAATTACACTTTGATCGTGTTTCGCGTAAATTTGTCTCCATAATGTTCTTATGCAGCATTTCTTAGCAATATATTGATGCAACTAGTTGCTAAAGGAAAAATTACATTGCTCACATACAAAGTGTAATGTTAGTATTATCATGTTGTAACGTTACACTTAAATATTGACGACTTTTTACGCTTACATAAAGATATCACATTTTGGTTTATTATGGCCAGTAATTGACTTATGCTTCCAGTGCGACGAATTGAAATCAATCGGGGCCCAGTCTGTACCTGTATAATGTTATGTATATTGAAAAGTGGTAGAAAGTGGTAGACTGTGTTTAATACTTGTATGTATCTATTTATATGAATTGATAGGAAAGAGTAAGCACACACACGCGTACCATCTGTGTCCTATTGAAAAGTCTGATACAAGATTCTATTAGTCATCCCAATGAGAAAAGCATGAAAACAATTAGAAAGAGGTATTACATTCATGATATTATAAATATTCCATCCTGAAAGAAAATTGTCGCCAAGTTACTTCTCAATATCATCCGCTACATTGTTGGACACAGAGGAGTGATTGTAAGAAAGAAATCATTTGGAAGTCCTCCTCGTGTGATTAAATTATTTCTGTCTCTCAGACTTTATTTAATTTTGTTTTACATTTACATATTAGCGAAAGTTATAATCTAAGTGATCCATTTCCGATGCGTTTTCGAAATATTGTAAAATAAACAAAATTTTGTTATCCAAGCGAAATAAATATACATTACGAAAGACTGTGTGTATTAATTAAATCCATGTAACTCTATGTGGATTGGATATAAGAAAAAGTTATCAAATAATTTTCATATAACATCTTTTGTTTTATCTAAGGTACATCGGGAAGTTGACAATCTTGGATTTGATTGACGGCAGGCACGTAAGCTTGAAACGAGAAGTTTTTTGAGAACATTCCCGGATTGATCACAAAACTATTGGAACAGTTAGTTGTGTATGTTTCAAAATTATCAGCGATTACAATGAGATCTGGTGTGGGAAATATTTGTAGAGCATGATCATATCTCCAATATATCGGAACGGTTCGAAGAGACACAGGAGTCAAGTGTGACTGGCTAATGATGATCTTGGCAAACTAAAAATTTGTTTTCCAATGTTAGATGTATATATTGTATTTATGATAATCATAAATATAATTACTTACGTGCTGAAGAAAGTATTCCTTTTTGGGAAAACGAAACGCGTTCCTACACATCTTCGTCAGCACATCTTCTCGCAACACCACAATCTCCTTTGTACAGTACTGTATTCTACATGGATTTGTGGTAAAAATAGCATTTGGTATCACTTTTGTGACTTTTTCGATGATGCATTTAGGTAAAGGAGGTTTTGGCAAAATTTTAGGAGAGCCTAAATCGTGCGGACCAGGTACAAAAACAAATTTGGAAGATTCCTTTACGCTTGTATATTCTGCTATTATGTCAACCAAATTTTTGAAACCTGTTATTAAGGCTTGCGCGCTGGTGGCATTTGGAGGAAAACTCAAAAACTGGCCGCATAATACGAAAGCTATAGGAGGATAAGTCATGTAACCTTCCAGTAATTTTCTAAATTTTTGTAGAATATTTGGAACGTCCAACCATAACTCCGCTATGAATATTATTATTCCATCTTGATTAGTCTCTTCGTGAACTTGGAGCTTCTTTGATATTTTTAAGGATACATTATGCGGTCCACCAAATGTATTAGCACCCTCAAAATCATTTCGCAAACTTTTTAATGATTCTATTGGTGGTAAACTGATATTTTTTACATGCAGCATATCATCCTTATAAATTCCGTTAACTATTACTATACAGCCTTCCATGATAAAAGTATTCTGAAAATCGTACAAGTAAAATAAGGAAAATAATGTTTTATCAGTTTATGCTTGCTATGTTATTGTCGTGCTTAAAATACTCTAGTTGAAATGTACATTTATATTATGTTGGAAACATTAAAAAAAAGTTTTAATGCTATAAAAACAATACAAACAAGCATTAAAAAGCATTAAAAACAGCATTTTAACAAGCATTAAAAATAATATTTTATGTAGATATATAAGTTTAAAAATCTATCCTTTTCAACATGCTATCATTGATTAATTATAATAATTGACATTTCATTGAATCTTATCATAAACCAGATTATTTCATAAAATCATTTTTCTTATTCTTCTTAGCTTGTTTTATCGATACAATGAAAATATTTATATTATATTGTTTATAAAAGCCAAATAATATACACACATTACTAATTACAAATTAAAATCACAGAACTTTTCAAACTTTAAAAGTTTGGAATTTTGCAACAAGAATTTAAGTTTTATTTTTATAATTTTATGTGGAACACATATCGCACTTTCGCAAGAAGTAACACAATTCAAAAATATCAAATTATTCAGGAGAAAGGAAAGAAGGAATTGCATTAATAATATTTTTTACTAATAATATTGTGAATAGACTTTTATCTTAAATTCTATCGCAAATTATAAATCGTCTGAAACGAACTTGATTTTACGGAAAATAATTTCACATGTCTATGCTTGGTTAAACAATAATTTTAAAATTATTTACGGCAGTATTAAACATAGCAAACTCACGCGGAAAATATTTAAATTCAACTTGTATTCAACTTGTATTTTCCTGATTGAAGGCCGATGTATTTAGAACACAATCTGCAATACAATACAAAATTCGAAAAATTTTTACTTGAGTCACTTTTCTTGTGGAGGTGCGATATACAGATTTTTTTAAATCAATGTAAATTTTATTTTATAATAAAAACTTATCTTCAAAAATCAAGTTGAAAAATATGTTACTATGTTTAGTGATGTTTTGATAATATTCTGAGATAAATTGAACAGCAAATATTTGTATAAATTATTGTGCATATAGACATTTTTAACTTGTTGGTATAGAAATATTTTTAAAGTAAAGTGGGAGATTATTAATAAAATTTAGTAATTAACAATATATCATAAAGGATATTGTACTGCTTAGATCAATTTTAACAGTTCCACTTGTATCTTCTAAATAATATTGATTGTCTGTTAATTTTGTAATCAGACCCATTACAGATACATTTCCTGTTCTCAGTTCGCTCAATAAATATTCAATAGTTATTAAATTTGTTTTATCTGTTTGTTGTTTCTCAATCTTAGAAGATAGAAACTGTTTATGTCTCAAAGTCTTGTGCCACACCATTTCGAAACGATGTTTAAAAATCAAGGATTTATATTCTGCTTCACTATAAGAGCTTTCGTCATCAATAATAAACTTCTTCTTACATGTATCATACTTTATCTTCGGTATATCATATCCATTTATAATATTAAATATTGTTTCTGTATCTTTTAACTTATTTGGTTCTAAACATTCTTTTATAGCAAGATTTAAATGTTCAGCACTAATATGTGAGTCATTCAAGTTTTGGGATGAAATTAGCTCTATAATCTGAATAAGCAAAGATTCACGTTCATTTTCTGGTACTGTCAATAGCCGCTTTGCAAGAGATATTCCAAGCTCTCTAGAAGAAATATAACAAACAATTATAGATGTAATATTTTTTAGAAAAAATCTAAGTATAAATAGTTTCAGATATCATGATCAAAATAAATCACATTTTCATATATTTAATAAAAAATAAATACATGATTATGTAACTGTTAATACTTATAATTCATAAAAAATTATTTTTTTATTTGCATCTTATAGTAACTTGTTTAAAAGTCAATTACAATAAAATACCACAAAATTCTTTAATTAGAACTAAAAGAAAATACTTACTTTGACAATATTAGACCGTAGAGTAAAAATTTTTTTTGAATAATCTGTGTATATTTGTCAGCCATTGTTAAGCAATATATACCTAAGTAATCATAAGTAAGAAAGCACAAACAATATAAAAAATATCATATTAGGCAATGTCTATTAAACAAAAATTCATTAAATTCAATCACTGTAAAACAAATCATTTTATATTATGTCTTTAATTATTACTATGTATTCGCAGAGGTTAAGTGTCTTTTTATTTCTTTGCCACTTTCCCCAACTTTCCCACCCTTAAACTATTGAGTTCTATAACATACTGGAGCAATAATCAGTAGGTTTGTTCTTTATTGCTGCACTGAGTTCACACTGCACTGGGCATCGATCATGTAATTTTTCCCTAGGAGCAGAAACGTGAAAAATAAAAACTGTTAAGCCTTGTGTCCACGATACTAGAACTCGGTCCGAGATCTCGGACCGAGGGAAAGTTACTAGAACTCGGATCATGTACACACTGAATTTGGATGCAAAACTCGAATAAGAAGCTCAAACGAAAAAATGCGTTGCGTCCCATTTTTCGGTACGAGTTATTGCGAGTTATTAGATTTTACTAGTTTCTTTCACTATCTGTCAAGACAAAATATAAGATACTTATAGTGATACGAGATACTGTGAACAATATAAATAATATTTTAGTAAGTAATTATAGAATTGAAAAAATAAAGAAATATAATTCTTAAATAAAATAAATTAATAAGATTAATAATTAATAAGATTTACATAAGTAGTTATTATTAGTTTAATGCAGATTAAATTAGACATTAAAAATATATTATAACCTATATATACATATTATTTTTCAAGAAAAGTATAATAATATATAAAACTAATTTTCAGTAAAAACTTCTTTTATAATAAAAAATGGATAATAAGGAAAATGTTAAAATTTTAATAATGTTATATCAACAACATCCTTGTTTATATGTTACAAAAAGTGTTGATTATCATAATCATATGAAACGAGATCAAGCTTTACAGATAATCTGTAATCAGTACAAAGAATTAACAGGACAACCACTAACAACTAGAAATTGCAAAAAAATTAATAATTTAAGATTACAATATCTGGACCATACTAAATAAAATAAAACATTCGAAATCAAGCGGTGCATCACTTGATGATATCTATAAACCAACTTGGCAATATAACATAGATCAGAAAATCATCGTAAAGAATCGTAACTCGATTACAACGCTAACTATATTCAGCCAAGTATAAATATTATTGTTCGAGGACTCGGACCGAGATCTCGGATTGAGTTCTAGCATCGTGGACACAAGGCTTTAGGGTGCAGTCCCATTGAGCACGGATCGGAATGACTAGAGATCCTTAAAGGAGAGATCGGCAGAACGTTAACGATTTCTGATTGGTTCCGTCGCCAGGTGTAAAACCGGAAGTGTGAGAAAGAAAGAACATACTAAGATAGGGAGAGACAGGGAGTGAGCGAGAGAGAAGGCACTATACCACGCTATGCTATGGCCCATTGAGTAAAAAGAAACAGGAGGGAGCATATACTAGCCAGGACTAGGTAAATCCGCGGACGGATGTACGTCATGAAAGTGAGAGGGAATGCTCGAGCATTGCGGCAAGCGGCATACCGTACGCCGTACGCATTAATATGCAGTGTATAGTCTTTTATGCAACAGTGTATGGAAATAAACGATCAAAATGGTATACTGTAGAGCTTGTGGCATAACAGCAGCAGCTCGAAATCATGGAATAACGTTTCATTGGTTAGTATTATCAACAATAATGAGATTTTATTTGGAGATTATAATCATATGTATAGTATTGTGAAATTGTAGATTCACAATAATTACTAAATAATTTTCACTCACAAACAGGTTTCCAAAAATCCGGATCAAAGAAATGCATTGATAAATTTTTGTAAAGACGAAGGATTTAATATAAATTTAGATTTTAGATTTTAACATTGCTCTTATGGAAATACTGCACGAGTGCAATTCTAATGAAAAACGCCATTAAAATTTGGTATTATTGTTGCATATTATAGTTATTTTCTTTTAATTGTACATTATTTTCTAATTAAACATAACAAGTCATTCAATATTGGCGCCCTTGAGCGGCCATCTTGAGCGACCACTTTATATAGTCACTTCCGTCCGCACTTTTAAGACCAAACGCTCCCTCCTGTTTCTTTTTACTCAATGCTATGGCCTATGACTATACTTATACTCAGCTATACTGCATTACGACTGTTAAGCCTTGTGTCCACGATACTAGAACTCGGTCCAAGATCTCGGACTGAGAGAAAGTTACTAGAACTCGGATCATGTACACACTGAATTTGGATGCAAAACTCGAATAAGAAGCTCAAACGAAAAAATGCGTTGCGTCCCATTTTTCGGTACGAGTTATTGCAAGTTATTAGATTTTACTAGTTTCTTTTACTATCTGTCAAGACAAAATATAAGATACTTATAGTGATACGAGATACTGTGAACAATGGGTTTGTTCGTTTTAGCTACACTGGGGCTGCTCTGGGTCTGCTCTACACAGGATAATACAGGACAGATAAATAGTTTGTCCTGTATTATCTTGTTTAGAGCAGACCCAGAGCTGCCCCAGTGCAGCTAAAACGACAAGCCTAATATAAATAATATTTAGTAAGTAATTATAGAATTGAAAAAATAAGAGAAATATAATTCTTAAATAAAATAATA